CACAACACAACGAACTGGACGCTCGATTGGCAAGAGCCATATTCGTCCTGTGCAACTGAACTGAACTGACTGACTGACCTTGAAATTACTACACTGATGAATGCGGTAATTTGATCCCGTGCCCATAAGAAGAAAGATCAACAACAATAACCCGCCGAGGTTGAAACAGATCAGTGTAAAAGGATGAAATAATTTGTGAATATGAAGCCAAGTGAATGTCAAAATGATGTTCTCAGCCATCTCAAGCTCAGTGTAGCAACAAAAAAATTTCATATGGAGCCGGAAGCTTATAACGCGATTTTGACTCACTTGGAATTATTGTGCTCAGAAAATATGGATAAAATTTTCATCAAAACTCACCAGAAAGAAATTCATTCAATTATCAGTGGATGTATCAGTCAGATATTCATCCTAAAAGATCCTTTAATATTTCATCCATATCTTATGGTATTGCGCTTGATCACAAAAGAAATGAGACATGTGATCAGATCTGAATACATGATAAAGCAAATGCTTCCATTAATATGTGCAATGCTTTGGATACGTGACATTAAGCTTGTGGATATATCTGTGAATCTTATTCGTCTTTCTATTCGATATCATCCGAAATTGGCATGCGAAATAGCGGTTAAACCATTACTGGATACAGTGAACCAGACAAAACACGAAGAAATACTCCGGTTACTTTTTTATATACATGCGTACAACCCGTGAGTCAATTTTATGTAAAATGCATATCGGAAATGATTAATTTTAGCCGTTCGAATTAAACCAATCAGCAGTTTATTATCGAGCTTTATTGCATACGGAACGCGGAAACACAGTTGGTTTTAGTCTTAAAACAACTAAGAGCTTCTTTCTATATGTATATGTATTTGAGGCACACTTGTAATCAAAATTTTGAAGATTTTTTAAACTTTTATGACAATAATAGTTTGAGGCTTATACCCAATCAGCACGAGTGTCACCGTTTAGCCGCCGAAAACGCTTTCATTTCGTTACCTGAGAGTCGCCGGGGAGTACCCACCAACACCGACTGGTGACTGTCGGTGACTCGCAAAATATTTCGGCAGCAATTTAACCTATTTTCGGATTATTTGCCCATCCTTATAAACCATTATCCGTTGTTCAATGAATATGTACTAGCACTATTATCTGCACAACAGCACCCAGAACGGCAAAAACGGGACACTTAGGTAATTCTTCACACCGCATAACCTACTTTAATCGCACATTCATTTCAAGAATGTCAAACAAATATGCCTTAATTCTCATGAGTAATATTTCTAAATTTATTTACTCTTAGGTAACTTTCGTTACAAACGATAGAAAACGTTTATAGTTGTCCAAAAAGCAACGGCAAATTGAAAGGAACATGTATTGATAAAAAATGTAGTTTATGAAACTTTCTCTCGTCCGAATGATCTGTGTGCGCTCCACACGAAAGATTAAGACTTATCTCGCCATAGATCCGCCTAGGAGTAAGATAAAAGTCAGCGGTTCAACAAATGGACTTCAGAAAGGTGTCAAAGAGGCGTAAAAATATTTTTACAGCAATAATGATGAAACAAATGTCATGAAGAGTAAACATATGGTTATTTATTGTCGCGGATTCTAAGCCATAGGTCTAAATCTAACTGGAACAAAAATGATTAAAGCCTTTAAAAGGAATTCCTTCATTTTCAACAGTGTAGATCTGCACCCACTCTGGAGGGTTGTCTAAGAATCAAGGTTTTCAGTGAATTAATTAAATAGGAGAATAACACGTCTTGTGTTTATTACAAGCAAAAATAAAAAAACAGAGTAATCCAAATTATAACAAATGAAAATGTCCAGATCAACTCTTTAAGTAAGAAGGGCATTGGGAAATCTCCCATAACATTATGTTCGGCTATAGTGGCTAAATGTTGGCACCAGTTCAGCACTACTGCAAAGTTCTATAGAGTTTCAGTTTAACTAAGTCGTTATTCCACTCTACCCCCAGGTCCATCGGTAACGAATTCCAGAGATTAGTCACCCTTTTTACAGATGATAGACCAGTGACAGACTGACTGACTGCATCTCGAGGATCGTCATTTCATGTCTCCTGATGCGCTCGTTGTTTCATAGGGAATTAACATCGCAGTTTTGAACCGAAGTCACCCCGAATTAATTATCTGGTGTAAATCGGATAACCTTTCAGTCATCTGCTTGAAATAGAAAAATACCTCGTAATCATCAGTCGGTCTTCATAACTGATTCCACGTAGTCCCAGGACGAGGTGTGTAGCGACCCTTCAAAGTCTTTCCAATTGGGCAACCTTGGCAGTTGTACAAGGAATGACCGCCGAACCACCATATTTCAATCAAGATTGTACGAGGGAGACAGACAGTAGCGTGCAAGCAGAAAGGGTTAGAGGAACAAGTGAACGGTGGATGGCATCCAACATACCATACGTAGAAGCACAAGCTTTTTCTGTTTGCGAACAAGTGTTTAGGTTTTTGGTTACGAAAACGCCCAAATCTCATTCCTCATACGACTGTCGGAGAATGACACTCAAGAACGGTAGCTGGTAGAGCAACTATGTATTGCAGTTTACAATTGGGTACAGTCTGATATGCTTAACCTGTACGGCAGGGCACTTAAGACCTCCTGGAGAGACCCATAAATCACTTTCGATAAGATTGTGTGTCAGTGCTTGAGGTCGTCAGTGAAGATCAGGCTACTCAACGTTAATGGTAGGTCGTTCGCAAAAGGTGGAAACAGTAGGAGACAAAGAACGGAGCCTTATGGTAAACCCCTGGTTCCTGCATATTACCCTAATTGAGTCTATGGAACTTTCACCAAAAATAATCCTTCTTTTAAGAAATCCTCGAACCAGCCAAGTAGGAACTTGTGATTCTCGGAGCTCTGAGTTTCACAAGTAATCTGTCATGGGTATTTGTGTAACACTTTCTTGAAATCAATGGAGATAATTTTTGTGTTGTATCCTTGAAAATAAATAAATAAGGAACTCCACAAAACACCTCAAACTTATTGGTTTATGAAACTAAAATGATTTATTTACTTAGTTTTTGTGATAAACTGGTATTTCTTTTTGATAAATTCATAGCATGTACCTTTTTCTTAACCCATGTACATTTTTCTCAGTCTACTAACACTAGCTACAATCAGCAAACTTGATGTGAGATACAAGTCAGTAAAATAAAAAAATCAGGTTCAAGTGACATCAAAAAGATGTTTTAGTGTTCACAAATAAATCCAATCAACTTTTACAAATCATACTGTGATAGAAATAAACAGCGTTTATTCAATGCAAGTGTAAACTGTTTGAAGAAGAAGCAAACTAAAGGAATACAAGTTAAATGAAAACGACTTCTGCCTTACTGAATAACTTCAATGCTATAGTTAGCTAACCAATTCAATCAAATGTTGGGTGCAGAATTTAGAGTTTTAATTAGGTGTTCTTTTCTCACAATACTGCATACCTTGATTTTATTTTATCGTAAGCAAAAAGATTTACGAGTCGGTGATTATAATTTATCACTGTAGACTGAATGTGTTTACAAATAGAATGATAGAAAACCACACTTAACAGTTTAGTTGAATCAGATGTTTTTATATCATATTTACCTTCGGAGTCAAAAAGAAGGTTTATACTGAACGTCACAGTTATATTTTGAGGAGTTTTATATCGTAGTGTATTGGTGTCGTGTCATTCAACTAACAGTAAAACGTTATCTTAAATTGAATATACGGTTTTACACATGAATGCAAACAGAACAGGATTCGAGCATTTTTTCGAAGTACCTAATACAACCCTCGTATTAGATAAATGTGAAGAAACAGAAGGTTAACTATGTTAGCTGAGATAGATGTGAATAAAGCTGTTTTATTTCATTCTGATGAAAGACTCCAGAGATCACGTTTGAAAAAAAACCGTACAATACAAAAATAATCATGTTTGGTTGTCACAAATGAAATATAACGCTATTACATAGAATTGCTTCAAATGATTTGGTATGACTGACCTTGTTGTAAACTTATAATTTCTTTTCTTACCAGAACCTGCTTTCGTCACCATACATACGGAAAATTTATACTTTCGCTATTCAGTCAACCAAATGCACCACTGACAATCCAAATGCGAAGTCTGACGCTCATGCACAGAATTGTTGACGATCTTCCCTTTACAGCAGATGCTGTTAAATTGTGCTTCGGGTCGTTACACGATTGCTTCGAAGTTCTGCTTACGGGTGCTTCCGCTGAGACAAGCAGCTTAATGTCTAGCCTCATGATTAAAATGGCAAAGCATAACCTGCCTGAAGCAATGTTACCATATGCAAACAGGAAACTACCTAATCGATTAAAGATTCATTGGCCTGGTTGCTTGGAAACAGCCCTGAGTTTGCTTGTGGCCCTTTCACATGACTGCTATCGTGGTGGACATGAACATCCTGAAAACTTTACCAGCAAACAAGAAAATAATCCGTGCATCGCTGGATCTGTTGAGGCAATTGTGAAGTATATAGAAGAAGCAAACCACATAAAATATCTCATGTCTTGTCTCGTCGCCCTCCAGGACCTATCTCCAATTATGGAAAGCAGACTATTGGAACCATATAAACATACTATTGTTGATGCTTGTTATCGCGTTGGAATTGGAACTAAAGTTTTATGGAAAGATATGTGGATGGAAGTCGCTGCCAATTCTAGTCCATATTCAAAACTAGCCGTGAAAATGGACTTTCGAAAATGGTTGGACGCCATTTCAAGACAAGTGATGCCGAAAAATATCAGGTAAGTTGAGACTTTGTTGCTCTATAGTTTTACTTTCTTACAAAAGCAAACGTAAAAAGGGACAAGAAAACATCCGTTGATGACTGACTGATAGTATTTTATTTGCACATAAAACACAATAAAGTGCATAAAATTGTTGCAAATGTTGTTTTTTGTTAAGAAGAAATTCTGTCGTTTTTTTAGTTAGGCATTTCGTTTGCAAGCAGTTAATGATCTTAAAGTAAACAGTAATTAATTTTTGACCATTATAATAGCCTAAGAGAGATGATGAGTATTAGTTTATCTAAACAATCGAATATGAGTTGAGTTTGATCTTGAGCATAAATCCCATATTTATACGCAGAAAATAACTGTTACACTAGCAAGGTATCAACTGCACGCGTGAGAGTCATTTTTCTTGCCTATGGTATATTGCGTCCACGATGTTTTTGTCAGTATACGATAAGGTTTGGAAGCAAATAATAAGTTACACTGGCTGACAGTGGATATTTTCCTTTGTTATTTATTTATTATAACTCTCGAATGCTTTTGTTTATTTTGCATTTGTTTGTCATTTCCTTTAAAATTTCAAAAATAATGAAATGCAACAAAAATCCCCGAAATCTTCAATCAAGTCAAGTCAAGGAATCACTTTACACACCTCGAAAGGTTGGTGTTCAGCAACCACATAACCACAGTTTGTCAACAAAAAGTAAAAAAGTTACATTTTACTGCACCAGTTAAAAGACTTGAAAACGGACAGCAATATCAGAAACCAATGGTATACCCGGGTGTTTATGACTGGTTTAGTTTAACATTTTGCGCAGATTTCCTGCAACAAGTCCATGGTTAGAAATCTGGTGAGATAGGGTACAATAGAGTGTCTGCAAGCTTTAGTGCGTGTCTTTATAGGTGTATGAGTGGGAAAGGCACTGGCTGAGAGCAGAATAAAGGGGATGGAAAAGATCAGATGAAATCTTATTGGAGAATATTTTACAGGACTTGAGGTGGTGTGTCACCACATACTGTACCAGATGTTCCCGCGGTATGAGACTACAAACTGACAGAAACCTGAGAGATTGATAAATGAGTTTGATGTCCATTTTAAAAAAACCGGGGAAGATAACAGGAGACCCATAAAGCCGGTGGGGCAAAACGGAAGCAAAACCAAAAAAACTTATTAGATGGGATAGAAAGTGATTTAAGAGGTAAAACATAAAACTTGAGTCTTCTGACCTTCGGTAAAGCGTCATTAACGTGGTCAGAACAGGTGAGGTTACGGTCGAAAATAACGCCAAGGTATTTGACAGACGGCTGTGATTCCATCTGGTCACTGAGGGTAGATAAAGGCGGGCTGGCACCCGATCGGTGAATATTTTTTTAATAGCACGGTTTGGTCATTCATCTCCTCGTCATACCTTTGTTCTTTCCATTTATTAAACGTTAGTTCCATCGGTTAATTGTCACATATTCCGAAACAAGCCAGTTATATATATATGTCTGTTCGTTTCTGTAAATGTTTCACACCATCAGTCAAGTTCTTCGTCATTGCTGTAATGCATACGTCTGATCAATTATGATACAAGATTTGAGCCATACAATAGCTGGCGTTCGGTTCAATAGTAAGGATCAGGTTCAAAGTTTGTACTAAAAAGTTTATCCATCGCGTATGAGTTACTCTTCAAGCATGACGAACAAGTACTCCGGTAACACAATATATTCGGCGAATCGTAATTGAGTGACTAAACCCGAATAACCAAAATTAGGAGATTTAGTTTCAACTAAACACCGAAATTCTGAAGAACTCTGTGAAGTGAAAGTAAAAGTTGATCATATAAGGTTACTTTTGTAAAGATACAGTTATGCGAAACCGCCAAATTTCTGAGATATAAGAGAACAAGGGTAACTTACAAAGAGAATGTCATGGTTAAATTAGCATTCTGCATACTTTAGGGAAAAGAAAAAAAGGTTTTTATTTCTGGTATAAAACGATTATTTGATGTGACAGCTCAGTTGGAATTAGACACTAACGGTATCTTCATATTCGTATTCTGTTGCTCACAACTGTTCTGCAATGTCGTTATTCCACTCGAGTTAACAGAAACTATTCGGTTATTTGTATTGGTGAAGTATTCAAACCAACTAAACTACATCGTCGCTTAACTTTTTTCACTTTTTGAGTGCCATTTTCAACTACGCTAACTACCTTTTCGATCACTGCCAAAGAATAGACGTATCGAATTACTTTGAATGGTTGAATGCTTGTTTCAATTAAAAAGAATACAGTAATTCATATTCATCCCCCTCTTTACTGCATCTAGACTGATAATAGACAAAAGAGCCCAATCGAGAGTCTCTTCAAATGCGAGAAAACAGATGGGTGATTTAAGTGGTATATGTTGAATAAAACCTGCATGTCTGTATCTGTGACAGAACTCCAGTTTTCATGTGCGTACTCCTGTGATGAAGTCAGTTAAGCGAATGGTTGAACAGCCCAGTCATAAATTGCTTTCACGAGCACACATGATTGCACCGATCACATCACGAGATCCAGCATCTTCATCGATCAGCCTCATCTTCCATTCATGTGGCACAGTTCTTCAGGTTTCACACATCCTACCTGTCAGTCTTTATAGCATGACATTAGTTCGATTCACTCACAAGGTAGATGTCGAGTGCTGTTCGCATTACTGTGTGCTTTTACGGAATCAGTTGTGAATAATGCTGCGCGTCTCATTGCAAATACCTTAGTAAACTGGTGAGTACATTTGATTATGTTTCTATCTGTTGGTATTGGCCAAAATCACAAATTAATTTCATGTGATACAAACGATTAATTTAGGTCATCTCCTCAATAACTTTTTATTGTTGATTATTCCATATGCTTTCTTCTCAGTTGACTGAAATTAACCGAAAACAATTTATTTTTCAAACAGCTTATTAATAAATATTGTGCGTACTTGTTCAATAATTAGTAAAGTGTCTCACTTACCAAATTCAGATAACTTTTGAAACTAAATTTCAATGCAAGCATCCTGTTGGATGCATATTTAAGATAATGGAGAGTTTATGACATACGCTCGCTAGTTGAACTGAATGATCATTAACAATAGGGACAGTTTTATATGGGAATACGGTAGAAATTCCTTAAAATCAATACTTTTCAATTTCAAACACAGGAACTCAGTCTACACCATCAATGCAATGTTTATTTGAATCGCCTAAATAAACCAGTTAGAAACGGACTTTAAATGAATGTGATAGGTATTCCTTTCACTGTTATTACTGCAAACCTTATTCTTGCTCATTTTTAAAAAGAGGGATTTCTAGAACTACGTGAAGTGCATCACAAAATATGTCACTAGCAAAACAGAGATAACGTAAGGAGTAGAGGAAGTAAGCACAGCCTACTAGGGTGAAGTTCTCTTTTAAATCAGAACATGAAATCCGCACTGATCCAAAGGTCGTTTGTCAGTCCGATCTCGTAGATTTATGGAGATATGGTGTGATTTGGTAGGTCCCAGGAGCTTATGGGCGTGAAAAAAGTGAATGCCTCTTCGTGTGGCAAAAGTGGAATAATCTATCAGATCACTCACACAAGTCACAAAAGCAGCTGAAAATCTCAGTTGACTTGACTAAGGCATTTCACCTCTGTCGTTCTCAGGGAGGGCTATCGAAGAAGACTCGCTATCATTTGTAGAATTTGTCCAGGTTTGTTTCTATAATCACCTCCTCACTGCATTTTACGCCATATTTCGCCCCGGGTCCACCCGAGACCCCGCTTCTCTGAGTCTGGATGAGCAGTAGCGTAAACAACTTCGTGATCAGTGCCAATTTCACAACCGGTCTTAGGACAGGGTCTAGTCTCAGGAATCTGTGATAATTTCCTCTTCACGCATTCTTTAGCGATGTATTTGTTGTGCTGGACACGGTATGGTTATCAATCATTTACTGAAACTAGGCTTGTTCAACAATCTGCAACTCATTTACAATTGATTCTGTGGAGCTTTTTGGATGAGTTCTTAAGAGACTGACCAAAGATATTATTCGGTTATATTACGAATTTCGTCGTGCATCGAACGAAATGAAGCACAAGCTTCAAAGCTATGGAGCACGGTACACACATTTATATATGTACAACTGTTTCGAATTGATTGAGTTTTATCACCACTGCAACCGGTTTATCCAGAACTCAACCTCGGCTTTTTGAATTCCCTAATATGACGTAAGGTATGGATATCAGATGAGTTAACATTGTTTTTTAGCCGTTTTCAGTGATCAGCGTATAGCTTATAAGCCCAGAAATTGAAAGTTGTAAAACATGTATGTGAATCATTGATTAACTGCCTGACTAATGAAAGATTATGTCATCTAATTTAGGTAATTGGACAACTGATTGATTGATCATGCACATTAGGCGAGCTGTTAATGTACAGCATTTGGTTGTTTTTGTTTGAGTGGCTATTTTGGTTCTCTCCGTTCCATTATAGTCAAACAAAATGTAAGTAACAGAAAGAAGTTAGTTGGATACTGTTTCAGGTTCGCATTTGTGTGTTTATCAAAAAGTTAATGCATTAGCCTAAACTGGAAACGTCTGAACCTATAGGATTGAAGAGTATTCCCCACTGTGAAACTGGGGGAATAGAGAGCGTCATCAACGGTCATTCAGGTGAATTAGGTCACTTATCGAGGACAGAACAGACGTTTTACATTGTCTACCGAATGCACCGCACCCTTTTGTAGAGGCAATAAGCGATCGACGATTATCACCCAAACTATGCTCACCAAAGCAAGTAGCTCACACATCACACCTACGATAACTGCCATCTGATCACATGAAAAGTGCCCTACTCTCTGCGTATAGATTTGCAGCCCACCACTTTAAATTACACACTTATTCGGGACCTGTGACCGAGGGAGAGGAAACCCTTTCATACTCTCAACCCGTATCTCAATTGCACCGGCAAGATGCATGAAGTATATTGTTTTACAGATTGGATTATTGTTTTTTCCTGTGAAAATCTCATCAGCCTCGATGGGACTGAAACTCACATATGAGCATTCCTTATGGATTTGTACAGCGGTGGATCCGAATTGCACTGAGATTACTGAACCTTTCGCAATCCAAAACAAGAATTGCAATAAATCTTAAAATGGTTATTGTTATGGCATAATGCTCAAGCTATTACTTGCGTTTCTGCTAAACTACTTCGTTTTTATATGCCCTTGGCATCTTTTACCTAACCTATCACATGAAATGATTATTTTTGGTTATAATGGTTATAATGATGAGCAATGACCAAGAACAAGCTTACAGATCGAATTAAATAAGCTTTTTGGCAATCCAGCCGCTCGGTAGAGAAGTTTTTCTGTATGGTGTATTCTTATTTGTATCGGAGGAGAGAACATTTCAATTTTCTTCCTCACATAATAGTGGTTCTGTTGCTTCCAGTTCTCCGCGATTATCGCTCAGAAAAACAAAATTGGTTTCCACTGGGTCTTAAGTAAATCTGACTGTTTGTTCTTGCCAAATTATACAGTGCAGCGAAATGATTACTGCGGTTGTCTTTCAGGAAATCGCCCGTTGGTGTTATATATTTTTATCAGAATTTTTCGGACGTAAAGTGAAGATAAGGCACACGCAAAACAAATTTGCCACTCTCCAAACTATCTCACATAAGCAATGAATTTCGTTTTGTCATAGTTACCTTTCGAATGCGTAGTTTATAGTAATATCGAAGATATGCATCATTGAATGATCTACATTCGCATTTACCCTTTGTTGACTACTCAGATCGAAACCGGTATCGATGTCATCGTTACAGGACACTGACTATCTCTCCTCCGATCGAAGCTCCAGTTCGCTTACAACCATCAGCAGCAGTTCTTCCGGGAAACCCCCCATATTAGACTCTGTGACTGATTCAACATCTGCACCATTACAAGTTTCAAGTCCCGACCAAAACGGTGATCATCAAAGTTTGACGAAGGAAACTAACGCCCCAAGTGACCAGTCCTTAGATGAGGACAAATCTGTGAACGAATCTACTAACTCAGAACTGAGTTCGACATCCACATCCACCAGCTTCTCCCACGCATCGGATAACAGAACCCAAATGGTCTCAAAAAGTTTGCCCAGGCAATATGAAGTTTTCGACTCGGTAGCCTCGTATCCTAATGCAGTGATCAGAAAACCAACTCCAATCAAAACGAATGAATTGCGAATTATTAGCGATACAAACCCATCCGGGGTAAGACGAGTACAATCGGTGAAATACTCAGAACAGCCATCAACAGAGGAAAACGAAAAACGCGTCGTAGCTGTGCAACGATCTCATTCAAGTTATAGACCAGGGCAAGTTACTTTTCGATCTATCTCATCGAGAACAAATCCAAATCAGATCAAAGTGCACACACTATCATCACCACAACTCTCACCGCTTGATTCACAAGACCCTATTCAACGATTTCATCAACGTTACTACGATAAACTGCTACAGTACATAAATGCTTTACAAAGTCAGTTTCCTCTACCTTTTGCTGTCAGTTATCAGAACCCAGAGAAAATACGCAAAGGTCAAAAAGGAATACCCAAGGATTTTGTTTGGTTTGTGAATCATTATGACTATCAGTCCAGGGACCGCAAAATAGAAGGTAGTATGGATTCATGTGGTGTTTCCACTACGCTGAACAGACCAGATCGACGTGAGCTGCATCTTCACTTTGCTTGTTCTCATCGACAAACACAATGCATCTATCCGGGACGCAATCTTTCCACTTGTTTTGACGTGAAAACAAAATATCCACTGTTATGGTTGCAAGTAAGTGAATGCCAGTCTCCCCTAACATGGTGAGGGGAATTTTTATATTAATTTAAAATCTGAATGTTACTAACATTGAATAATCCGTATGAGCCGGCTATACTGTCATGTATATCAATCAAGTCATTATGTTTTTAGAGTTTATTATTAGCAATGATTAATATGGCAGTATTCTTTTATCTTTCATCTCGTACCACCACTTCTGTATCATAATTAACTGAAATTTCTCATCATCACTAGACAGTGCTCACTAACCAGAACGGAATTCCATATGTCTATAATAGTTGAGGACCGACTGAGTTCCAACTGTCATTCACCTAACAACCCGATGTGATTGATATTCATAGGCGAAACCTCCCCCATTCCTGACAAAACTTACGAAATGTGAAGCACTTTATTGGATATCGTATTTTAATTCCACGGATCAAAATGGTAAACTATGCCAGGGTTAGGACTGAGGATTTGGGACGAAGAAAACCAACCGCACCAAAAGCACGGTCTCGGTCACGAATTCCGAGCAAAATACGCACACCCATTTTGGATGAGAGCAAACAAGCTACAACCCATTGATAAACTTTCTACGTGCACAAAGTGCTGCTGCTGTGTGGGGCGCAAACGCTTGCTCAGGCGAAAAATGCACGTTCATCCTGGACGCATGCTAACAGCAGTAGATTTGTACATAAAATTTAGGGTTATTTCAAATAAAATGAAACGGAGGAAAACAAATAGTCGGTGAATGCGACCATACATTGTTTTGACTCGAATTGATATCTGCCTCGGTTTTTATTTTTGATGATATAAGCTTGTTGGAGATGTGAGGAACCGGTATCATTTTAATCCAAAGAGTCATGTGAAGGTTCAAACTAGATAATATTTAAATACCAGTAGCAAGAGAGTGGTCGCGAATCCGAAACTGATCAAGGACTGGTGAGTGACTAGAGGCCACTCAACATTTTAAGCGTTTGCAAGATCAGTTCAATATTATAATACACATCTTTGTGAGAATACTTTTCGATTTATTCATTTTCGGATAAACATTTACCATTTGCATATTTGGTAATGAGGCAGATGAGAGGCTAACGAATTGAACTTTCCGATATTTGTTCACCACTCAAAAATTTACGCATACCTATTGCACTT